AAAAACGTTTTGGCTGTTTTTAATCACCATTATTCCGGGAATAAATCTGGGTTATTACACCATAATGTCTTGGTGTAACACCCAGATTTTGGAGCCTATATAAAGGCCAAAACTCCACATGATAGGAACACACTTTCTCACAATTCTCTTCTCCTTTTTCAGTTATCTCTCTCTCTTGGTTTGTTCCGGATTTTCTTGAGTAGTTCTTGTAGTTCGGTTTTGGTGATAGAGGAAAGATCAAGTTCTAGTTCGCCGGACGGTTTCGAAAGTGCATCGAGCTGCCGTCGTTGTCGTTGTATCCTGGGAGACGGACGTCCAACGTAACCTCAAGCACACGCCGGAGGGGACGAATCTGTTTTAAGGACAACGTGGTTCACGTGCCTCGACATTCATACAATTCCGTTTTCCGAATTCCATAGAAAGGTTGATTTCGGGTTGTAACAATTTTCATTATTTTGTTATTCCTTTATTTCCTGTTCTTCTTTGTATTTTCTATTATATTGTCTAACAGTTTTTTTATCCCATCAAATATATTTCCTCTTCTTGAATAAAAAAGAACCTTAATAAATAATAAAACTCATAAGCTATCTTAATTAGAGTTAACATTATTATTAATCATGATATCACAACACGATTTAAAAATTACACGAATTTCTGAATTAAGATGACGTTTGGTTGGAGGATTCAAACTATGTGATTCGAATCATTTTCGATTTACGTGTATTTTTTATGAGAAAAAATACTGTAACGAACTATGAATCATGATTCGAATCAGGGAACGAATCTCTCTACCAAACATTCTCCTTATTTCTAACTCGACAAACAAAGGTGAAAAAAAAAAAAAAAAAAAAAAAAAAAAACAGGAGCGTGGAGGAGAGGGAATTGGGGATGTGACGCCAGCCAACCTTTGCAGCTTTGCTTTATTTAGCCAGCGATTTACAGAACTATGCCTGCCATCTGGATTCTGGTCCTCAGATAGATTCTGGACTTCCTCTCTATTTGTTTGGCCTACCCGTACCCAATAAAATCGCATTATTGATTTGTCATTTGCCCTCTACAATCCAAAGCTGACCAATAAGATCCTCCTCATCAATGACCTTCCCATTTAGCAACAAGTATGCCGTATTTCATGTACCTTTCTTCTTTTTTCTCTATCCCCTCACTCGATCTAAAAGAAACTAAAACATTAAATACTCATAAAGTAGAAAGCTCCACTTCAGTTGGATTTTGTCAAACGTGAGTGTCAGGTATGTCATGCGTGAAATTAAATTCATTGTGAAGTATATTTGAAAGATTAGTAAGATGTACCAGAACTGTTCGCTTGGAAATCATACCTGTGCTAAACTTTTATAATCATAATAATTTACTCTATAATTAATTAAAGTATTTTATAAATAAGTGTGTTAACGTAAATTAATGAATACGTGTATGTATAATATCGGTTTATAATAAGATAAATAATTTAATTTTCGGAAATAGTAGAAAATATGCCAATATAAAAAGTTTAAGAAAGTATATAAGCCAACTTTTAGTTATAGAAATTAATAGGTCATAACTTGTCAAGTTATGGTTCATAACCATATAAGTTATTAACGAACTTGTCAAGTTATGGTTCATAGCCAGACAAATTATGGACAAAAACTGTAAATTATGGACAATAACTTGTCAAGTTATGGTTCATAACCAGACAAGTTATGGACGAAAACAGTAATTTAGCCTATTTATTAACTTATGTAAACTATTAACCTATTAATTTTAATTCATCTAAAGTCTTGACTTATTTTTCTCTTTCTCCATTTAATTTTTAATGTGTTTGAGGCGTTTAGACTCACTCTTTTTAAATATTTCATCAGCTTATCGGGCTAAAATTCTTCTCTTCCCACCTTTTTGGTTGAGGCCCAACTAGGCCCATTGCTTAATGTGGCAAAACAAAAACTGGAGGGGCAATTTTTGCGCCCCCTGCCGTGTACGGGGGTGTGCCCATGGGAGTGGAGAGAGGCAGAGGAGAGAAGAGTTCAAAACTCCTCCGAACTCTCTTGATTTTCTCAGCCTTCTTGAACAGATTCCGAACACCTAAACGATGTTATTACCGAATGGAGGAGGTAATCCTAAAATCATAAACTTTCTATATGCCTCAAAATCCATATGACAATGTATTTTTCGAATTTGATTGTTGTTTGATCTTATTTATGAGTATTGACAACCCATTATTTCTAGCAACCTGAACGAGGGGGAAAAAAAAAAAAAACTGAATTATAAATGAGCCCAAAGACAAAATTAAACAAGACTAGAAAAGGTGACACAAGTAAAACAGTGACTCATAATGTTTTTCCTTTGGAGAATTATAGCAAAGCAATGCAACTGGGAACTACACAAAATGGCACGTGCCTAAAAGCCTAAAATGACCTGCATTTTAGTAGTTGTTTGTGTCCTAAGGTCATTTTAGGCTTTTGATGGTCTAATCTGAAAATTCAAATCACACTTTTCAAATTTTTTATTTTAAATCATAAAAGTTTAAACCATCACATTCCGAACTCACTAGCCAAACAACGGATCCTCTGAGACAAGATATGTCTTGTTTAATATGATTCTTTAAGATCATGTGAAATAACTTTAATCAAAAAATCTGTTGAGCAAAAACCTTTATATCAAGTATATATGGATAGAGGATTTTTGTGGGTTCCCGTCACGGAACTGAGCAACTCTTCTTTTGCATATTTAAATTAGATTTTTAAAAAGTATTTAGAACGTGGAATGAGCTGTTTGATTTCTTGAGTTTGAATCTGGTATTACTTAATGGTATGATCTGAAAAAGGACTGATTCAGCCATGTTTATAAAGGAGTACTGATTCCTTCTTTCTTTCTTTTTTTTATTTTATTTTATAGAAAATATTGTTTATGCAATATAAGAGTAAACAATCGATAATACAAATCTTTTAGAAGGAAATATTCTAAAATAATGATAGTGGCTGAACAAATAATGGAGGAATTGAGAGATGTTTTCATTAACATCGTGCAGTATATATACAAAAAATACAACGCATATGGCAGACTAAGTCTAAGGCTTGGAAGCCGTGATCCCCTTTTTGTGGGATTTGAATTACACTAATTTGGAAGGTAAATAAAGAATGGAAACCGTAAATATACAGCTAATATAAGATATGTCCTAATAAATATAAGCAATCATAAAAATAAATAAATAAATAAATAAAGATAAATAAAGAAGTAGGGCTTGGAAGATTCACTAGAAATATCTCAAGATCCTTGTGGGCACGACCCTGTTAGAGGAGACGTTAGAAATGAATTCTACCCAGGAGGAGCAAATGGTTAGATAAAATGTGCTTTGCTGAAATTGCCTTCGATAGAGGGCCAACGTAAAATGCCGGAGTAATCTACTAGATTATCACTGGTAATCTATCTTTATGCAGTTGCAATCAATAATGACTATCGATTGTGATAAACCGGAGTAAAATACAAGATTACCACCGGTATTCCATCAAATTATATCGTCTTTTCACATTATGTTCGGGTTAAATAAGGCTAAATTGGGTTGGTAACAAAATATCAGATTAAATATACAATTATTAAACAACAAGATTTTACCCTGAACATATTGAATAAATACATATTTATTTTTTTTAGGGAAATATATATTTATTTACTGATGGAGTTTTTTTGGTACCTAATTACTTTTTTTTTTTATACCTAATTGCTTAACATGCTTCAATGGTTTTCAACATTTTTTTTAATATAATAAAGAAAACCTTTGGACCGTATCTTTCAAAATAAAAATAAAATGAAACAGCAGATAGACACACGAAGAAGCTTGATTCCTATCCACTTTCTCTCCTTCCAAACACAATTCCTTTCTTCACAATCTCAACTCTCAAAAGTACAATTTTTTATAATTAAATTACATGGTTGTCCCCCGAATTATAAATCATGTCACAAAATACCTTCCGAACTTCAATTTATAACATTCGTCCTCCGCAAACTTTAGAAGTTTACAAAGTACTACATGTCATTTTCTGTTAAAATGTAACAGAAAGGGAACATTTACAAGACTTTTAAAATTCAGGAGGATGGCTGTTACAAATTGAAGTTTGGGAGCATTTTGTTACACCTTATAGTCCAGAGAGCAACTGTCTAATTTGTCATCTTTTCTTTTTTAAAAAAATTAAAAGATAGGAAATGTGTTGAAGTAACAAGATCAATAGAGCATCAAGCACAACAAACAACAACATCGCTTAATTTACTTTATTTTTATTATATATACTAATTTATTTATTTTTATTGTTGTTTCTTAAAAACAACATATGATAATTAGGGGTGACAATTTGTGTTACGTGTCATGTTTTGATCATTTATTTTTAAATTTACGGTCAACCCGAATACAACCCGTGAGGCCGTGACATGAAATTTTTTAAAAACCGCAGCACAAACATGATACGATTACTTTACGAATTGACACGACACAAAAATGACCCGTGCACGAAAATTATTTACTTTTATTTAGTTTTTTACATATTAAAAATAACTTTTTCATAACACACTAAAATACAATAGCATCCATCAAAATTAATCAAATAATAGTACAAGATTTTGAGTTTAACTATCATGATATCACAAGTTGATAATAAAATCTAAAATATGTAATGAAAAATATCTATTTTTTAGTTTTTTATGAGTTTTATATCGTGTTCGAGTTAGGCGAGTCTAACTCAAAATTGACTCGTGTTTTTCGTGTTAATTTTATGTCGATCTAATTCTGACCTGAATATCTTTTTCTCAATCTTAACCCGCAAAGTTCTTATCATTTTCGAGTCGTATTATCATATTGTGACTCATATTACCGACCCTAGCAACAATCATCACGTTAAACGTCACGGTCAAGATCAATAGTAAATCAATCATCCGCTTTCCGTTATAACAAAGTGTTTAAAGTGTGATTTGGAACACAACTTTTAAACTTCAAATTGGATGAATTCACGTGAGTCTGATTTTCAGGTTTTAACCGGAATATTCGGTTTGGACTTGGTTTCAAACCGCGTGAAACAATGAGCTAATGGTGTAACTCTGCAACGCCTTGTATAAATCGTTCACCTCTCTAATTCAGCACCACCTAAAATCCCAGAACTCCATTTTCTTCCAACCAATCAACCAACCAACTCCATCATGTCTTCCTCTCAATCCCACACAATCGAACACCTCGTCCTCTTCAAGCTCAAGGACACCACAGAGCCGTCCGATGCCGCCGATCACAAATTCCTCAACCTAACCAACGGCCTGATCTCCCTCGACCAAGTCCTCCACATCACCGCCGTCCCGCTCCGCCGCATCCGATCCTCCTCCGCCCTCACCTTCACCCACATCCTCCACAGCCGCTTCCGCTCCAAACCCGACCTCGCTGCCTACGCTGTCCACCCGGCCCACCTCCGCGTCGTCAGGGAAAACGCGGCTCTCGTCGACGACATGTTAGCCGTCGATTGGGTCGCCGCCGACCTCACCGGCCCCACAACTCCGCCGCCGGGCTCCGCCGTGAGAGTGGCGCTTCTGAAATTAGGCGAAGGCTCGGGCGAAGAGAGGAAATCGGAGATTTTGGAGGCGATAAGAGGAATCAAGGACGAACTTGTTGGGATTAGTCAGTTCAGTTTTGGGAAGAATTTCTCGCCGGAGAGAGCCAAGGGGTTTTCGATAGCGTTTCTGGCTGTGTTTCCGAGTGCAACAGAAATGGAATCGGCGGATTCGAAGAAAGAGGAGAAGTTGAAAGAACTTGCGGAGAGCTTAATCGTGGTTGATTACGTTGTGCCGTCATCGGAGTAGCTATGTCTTTGGGTACCTGATTTTCCTGTGTGTTGTTCTCTCTTCTTTGAATGGGATGATGAATAAAAGTACGTAACTTACTGTACTTACCCAATGACTTTGTGTTATGTCTTCTGTCGTTTAGGGTTGTTCTTTGTCCAAAAAAATTCAAACAAAGTTTAACTTTATTTACATCTTCTTTTAAGTTTTATTTTTATTTATTTTTATTTAATTTTATTTAAATTACAATTTTAATTTAAATTATAATTTAAATTTAATTTAAAAATTATACTCAAATTACACTATAAAATAACAACCCAAATTTCATAAATAAATGCGGTATTATTCCCGCCGTTGCTGTGGTTATTTCGTCCTTAGCTTGTTTGTTTCTAATGACTGCATTTATTATAATGTGTTCTTTTTTTTTTCCTTCGATAAAGTACAAAACCTGCTATTTATAATTGTTCTATTGTTCCCTCCGTCACCGTGACCATTTCCGATTTCCTCTGCATGTTTCTAACAATTGCATTTATTTATTTTTTTTGAAATTTTTTTCTTCAACAGAGCACAAAATCTAGCCCAGGGGGGTTTGTAGTAGAAGGTATCAGGTTCAAAACTTAAGGTGTGTGCCAGAGAGCCTTTTAGGCATGTTTACTTTGCATTAAAGGAAAATGAAAAGTAATCAATGATTTTTTTTCATCTAATAATGTGTTTACTTATAAAATTAATAATAGAGATATAATGAGCCCTACACAATATAGGGAATGAGAAAAGAGAATATCAATCTTTACAACCCTTTTAGTACTGATTTTTTTTTATTAAATAGAATGAATGTTAAATTTATTTATCTACCCTCTTATGAATTATTAAACAATCAATGATTATTTAATTGTGTAAAAAGATATTTTAGTGATTACATTCATAAAATTATTATTCCTAATTTTAGTAAACTGTAAACATAAGAAAGAGAATGGGGTTGTTTCCCATTACACTATCTAATAATCAATTAAATACATGAAAGAGAATGAATGACCCTTAATTTTATTACTTTACTTTCCTTTTCAATCTCATTACCTTTCCTATTACATTCATTTACGGTTTAGTAAACACGCCCTTAATGTACAAAATCTACTATTATTTATTACAATTATTTTATTTTTGTATTAAAAAATTACATACAATGTCATCAAAATCAACAATTTTACATTTATGCTATGTACTCTCATTGTTTTTATATGTTCGGATATCTTCGCTCTGATATTTGAAATGTAATATTATTGAATATCAAATTTAATAAAAATAACAAGAAATTAAATGACATAAATGGCATTGGATTTTGTTAGCCTATGTAAAATTTTTGGATTAATTACAAAAATTTCTCCTAAATTATACTTCTTGTAACACTTTTTCTCATGATCTTTAAAATCTAACATCTATTACCCCTGAACAATGAAATGTTAAAAAAAAAACCCTTATTCGTTAAGTTTTAAACTGAAATTGACATTTAATTTGCTATATTTAGGATATTTTCATAATTCTATGGTTTAAACTTTAATTTGAAGTTAAACTAATTTTTTTTAAAAAATTCATAATTTTTTTAGTCTACCAGAAAAAATATAAAAATTTTAACATACATTTAATCAATAATGGATGCATCATAATTAAAAGTTCAAATTTAAATCAGTTTTGAAACTAAATTTTAAACTATAGAACTATCAAAATACTCAAAAATAACAAATTACACCTCAATTTTCCTTTAAAAAAACAACAGAGTGGGCTTTTTTGTTAACATTTTATTGTTAAGGGAGAACTAATGTTACGTTTCAAAGATTAAAAGGTAAAGTGTTACAAGGGGTATAGTTTAAGGGAAATTTTTGTAATTAATCCAACATTTTTTGTTTTTAACAAATTATGTCCAAGTTGGAAAAAAGAGACAAATACCTTTTAAAAGTGCACGAGTCTGATTTTTTTCTCTTAATTTTTATTAATGTCATTTTTTTCAAGTAACTATATTAGTTAAAAAAAGTATTAATTAAAAGTAAGGGATAAAAATTTAGACGTATGCACTCTATTCCACCATTTTCCCCCAATAAAATATAATTTTTTTTAAAAAATAGAAAATTTACCTTGAGAGTGTATGAATCTAGACATTTACCTCTTACTCTTAATAAATACTATTTTTTAGTGTAATTATTTAATAAAAATATTATAAATTAAAAGTAAATGACTCATACATTTATATTTTGGTAAGATTACCCAATATTTCATATTGTTTAGTAGTAATCGTTGGGCCAAGAACTTGGGTATTGAATGAAAACGGGCGCGGCCCATAATTCGATTCTGATCATCCCCTTGCTGCGATCACTATCAAACGACTAACCGCAGAGCCCCTTTAGCCTCCTCTCTCCTTATTCCGGATATGACGTCTCTGAGACTCAGAGCGACTGCATCTTTTCTCACTCGATTTTCTCTCCCTTTCTCTTCTCCCAAACACCCCCTCAACCCTTCTCTCTCCTTTAAACCCCACTCTAACACTCCGAACTTCTCCACCAAGATAACAATGTCATCGTCGCCGTCTCAAACCATCGAACACGTCGTCCTCTTCAAGGTCAAAGACGACACCGACCAATCCAAGGTCTCCACCATGATCGCCAGCCTCAACGGCCTGACTTCGCTCGACTCCGTCCTCCACCTCTCCGCCGGACCTGTCCTCCGCAACGGCTCGTCGTCTTTTGATTTCACTCACATCCTCCATAGCCGCTATAATTCCAAGGACGACCTAGCCTCCTACTCTCAGCACCCTAGCCACGTGAGCGTCGTCAAGGAATCTGTCCTTCCGATCATCGACGACATCATGGCCGTCGATTGGGTCGCCGACGACCTCCCGGGACCTGTTGCTCTCCCTCTCGGCTCCGCATTGCGGGTCAGCTTCCTCAAATTGAAGGAATCTGTGGGTGAAGGAGCAAAATCCGAGGTCTTGGAGGCGGTTAAGGGGGTTAAGAATAGTTTTAGCGGGATTGATCAGCTTTCGGTCGGGGAAAACTTCTCTCCGGGGAGAGCGAAGGGGTTTTCAATCGCGTCGCTGGCGGTTTTCACCGGTCCGAGCGAATTGGAAGCCGTGGATTCGGACCAGGAGTTGGTGAATTCGCACAAGGAGAAGGTTAGGGATTATTTGGAGAGCGTGGTCGTGGTTGATTATGTGGTGTCGTTGCCTCAACCCGCGAGTCTTTGAGCAAAGCATTCGCGTGGTGAAGGGAAATTGTAATAATACAGCTAAGCTACTGGGTTCGAGGTGACTTTTTCTTGAATCAACGTTGTTTTGATGCTTTGGTTGTTTGATTAAAACTGTCTGTAGACTGTGGTGTGACTTTGTGAATGAAAATCAATGTATTTTCTCTTTATATCGTATTATGTTTTGTGTGCATTTCTTTTCTATTAAGTTATAAGCTTTTGAGACTGCCCGTTGAAACAGCTTGGTCAATTGGTTTGACCATTCTGTTGAAAGACGAAAGTACTAAACTTTATGAGGAGTGAGTACCTAGTACCTACCAAACATGGGATGGTAGCGAATATATAGAAACTATTTTCGTTTTGTTTTGTTTTTTCTTTGACTCTTGTTCTGCTTGGTCATGCGGTTCTCTGCATTACTTTAAATGACTATTCGCAACGACGATAAAGTTTTCGAACCCTATAAAACGTTCATGCAGTAAGAGGAAGGGTTGATCAATTGTATATTCAAAGTTCTGTCTAGGGAAGGAAACTGAAAGATGTAAAACGCAAAATGCCAACATGACTTAGGGAGAGATTTCTACCCCTCTTAATATATATATAT